AATGAGACGTAATTACCATAAGGCGAGCTCTCGTAACGAGCTATACGTAATTTTTAATATTGTGTGGTTTTTGTTGTAAATTTCGCGAATTAACTAAAGTGCTCCTATTTTTAACCAACTTTAAAGAAGAAAAGAAAGATTACAGTAATATATTTCTAGTAACAATGCAAATGAAATGTACCAGGCAAATCAATGTAACAAATCATGATCTCCGTGTTGGCAAAAAAAATATATATTGAAGAAATGTGACAGGTTAAGGGTACCGCTTATTACAGCTTATCACGTTTTAGGTGAATTGAACTCGACTATACTTTTTTAAATTACGATTTAAGATATTCCAATTGCAGTTGATTGCGACAGGATTAAAGTTATGTGCGATTGGTTTTTTACTGCTTTGCAGATTAATCCGACGTTTTTGATATACAAACTAAATATTTTATTGAAAAGTTTTGTTAAAGAGTATTGTAACAATAAAATCGGCTTCCAATTTATAATAAATATGTTTTAGTAGTCCTGGTGTAATTTTGTGAGTATTCTTATTAATATCGGGTTTGTAAGGCAGAATACTTACTCTCAATTATATAGAAAAAATGCAACACATATTTTCTATAACTCGCTGTAAAATTCCCTCAGTCAATTATTCTTAATAATGTATTTACTGTTTTTCATTGCATATGCAATTCACGCGTAATTAACTAGACCCCCCTTAGACTAATTCACGCGTAATTTTAAAATAAATATTATTTTAGGTACATAAATTGGAAAAGAAAAGTGGTAAAAATACCAATAACACAGCACAAACAAAGTCCCGCGTCATTTGTTTCCAATATCCATCCAATCGGCCACAGCTATTTGTAACAGAATAGATATAAATCGGTGGTTGCAGCAAATATGAATCGTTCGGTCGATTTCGTTCATTCGTTTCCACAAGTCGCATTCGCCCTATCAATCCTGTATATGTGATTTCACTCAATTTTTGAAACTGACGCGCCCCTGAGCGGGGCGGGAAACATTACTCATACTTGTACCAGATAACGGCGACTTTGCACTTAGTATTTATTTTATTTATTGTCGCGTAAAAGCGTTGATCATAGTATAGTGGTGGTGATGACAGTAAGTGAAAAACGTTTTTCGACTTGTAATAAAAAGATTCAGATCATTTTATAAACTGTATTTGACATATTTGTTTTTTATTTAATAACTTCACACATCTTACACAGTCAGATCCCAAACTTGTACTATGGTAACCAGACTGCTGATAAACATATTTATATATTTCTAAATACATGTATATTATAGATAAATTACACCCAGACACAGAACAAATAATCGTGCTCATCACACAACATTTGTCCTGGGTGGAAATCGAACCCACGACCTCCGGTCTCACAGGCCCGTCGAAGGCCGCCCGTATAAAATAAGTTAGACATTTCCAAATAAGTTCCGTATTCTTAAATCACGAACAGTCAGAACTAACCAATCTATACTTCAATATGAATTCTAAACAGTCCAGACAGTTAATTAAATCAATTTCCAAGAGGAATTAATATTCAGTCATATTTAAATGTGCAACTATCTCTGTTTTGACAGTGCTCTGTACAAGAGCGTGCCCCGGTGCGGGATCAACGCGGTCCCTTGTCCCCTCCCTATGAGAGTAAAAATGATATATTTTCAATTTTTGGCTTCCTATTAGTTCGAATTTTCGACTCTTTTGATTTATTTTTATGTCTGAAAGTATACTGGATACATTTTTAAAAGATTTTTTACGATTACTGAAATGTTTATGCTATTTTGTTTTCGAGTGCTTGGATATTATCATACCAAGATATAAAATTAAGCAAGAAATCCTGTGGTTTACTAATTCTGTTATTTATTTTAGATATACATGTTTGGGATAAGCTTATGCGACAAAAACTCTTCAATTATATGATGTGATACGGTTGGTTTCCAAACGTCATTCCTCAGCTTTGTAAAAAAAGCCTACATGTGCAAACTGACATAAATAATATCAGACTGGCTTTTGCCCGCGTCTCGGCCCGCATGTACGTCGGTTATCGCGGTAAAAAGTAGCCTTACTGATACGCGTACGTTGAAAACGTAGCTTTTATTTGAATGAATGTGAATTTAAAGCGTAACAAACAAACAAACAACTCACTTTCATATTTACAATATAAATATGGATATATATTATTCCTAGTTTTCTGTATGAAGTTATTCTGTTGTTACACTTGGACAGGCATTGTACATTTAGCTTTGGAGAGTAAAGACTATTTCTACACTACGAGTTTAAGTTGTATACACGACTGGTCGGTTTTATATGTTTTCACTGTTAATATTGGTATTAATTGTATATTAATATATTTACAAATAAACTAATATATACCTAATGAAATAATGATAGGTAAAATGAAACATAGTTTGAACTTTATCTTTTTAACAGATAAGAAATAGAGATAATAAATTATCATAGTTTATATATTGTAAATACTAAGAGTCTTCATTCTGGTGTTCAAGTAACTCTGTTGATATATCTAAAATATCACGTACACTATTACAATAATCGAAAATAAAACTTCGTTATAGCGGATTTGAATTTTTATACGAGTAATAACATAACACAGTCCTAATACCATGTGAAATGAGGTCTATGCAATTTGAATCTCATTATAAATCCATTTTCAGAATTTTGTATGCACCTATTAGACCCTGAAACTGCTCAACTGTGTCAGAACCGCGATAAAACGTGTGAAGGGTCAGAACGACCGCCAATACATCATAAAATTATATGAAAGTCAAGAGCAGGGAAAGTGAGAGGTGAACGAGCCACATAGAGATTTATTGCGGTCTGCTTTTGATACCTATTGTAAAAAGTTCGTTTTATGAGTTTAAAAAAAGTCCCGCAAATAACCACTTATCGTCGCATTGCTGGGACTTGAAAAGCATCCATTTAGGATTATGGCGAACAGCACTGATCAAAATGTATATGCAATAAATGATACTTATATTAAGTTCGCATAAAGAAGCGGTAAATTCTATTTTTCATAACTTTGAGTGAAGTTTTCGAGTTAAAATTTCTTTAGAAGAGATCTGGAGGCGTTCGGTAGGAAATTTCGCAACAACATCGTGAAAATCTTCGTTCAAGTAACGGCATCATTTAGACTCAGTCTCCGTGAAATTCGTAGCGGTTCCAGCTTGGAAGCAAGTGCGTTATGTACTTGGTGCATCCAGCATTATGTAGAATGGGAGCATAATATCGTCTCGTTGAGTTTGCCGATGCTATAAACCCGTTGAATAGAAATTTAAAAAGTACCGGTGCAGCGTGAAACTATTCTACAAAAATTTCTCGTTTTAAATGTTTATGTAGCTATATTTTAGAAAAAAATATGAATTGATTCCCAAGTTTTAACAATTAAAGTTATAATGTATTTTTGAATTTATTACAACAAAAAGTAAAAAGAGAATCACTTTCTTGCGAAATAAATGTGCTTAATACATTTTAACAACACAAACATTCAATAACCTCGTCGTTTATCTCGACACAAATATGTTAGGGACCTGTTGGGGATCTGTTGCGTCCCTGGCTCGAGTCCAAGGCTCATGTCCGGATCACTTCGAGCGAGGTCTTTAGATAATGGTGCACATTTCGTTGCACGTGCATTCAGAGCTTGCGACAAGATACATGTGTTGACCCTCTAATAGAAATCTTTAAGTGAAGGCACTTCATTTCCTTTAAGTTTAAAACAAATTGTTATAATTTAGAAAACATCTTGTATTTTTTAAAGACCGTTACTTTCTTTTTACGAAAACTGTATCACTTATTAAATAAGTGAGACTGCCACCAACTGCCTTGGTGGTGTAGTATATGGATGGATATCAAACAAAGGTATAAAATTGTAATTACTAAAATGAACTTTAAACATCATATAACAATGAAAAAAACTAAAAAACACTGATAAAAATTAATTGTGTTATTTTTAATTCAAAAAATATATTTTTTTGTATTTACAGGGTCATAAGTGGAATTCCAAATTCAGATACAGAATTATACTACAGCTTCACTAACTTCTATGTACGAGTATATCAAGTTTTAGATTCTAAATTTCACACTTAATTGTTTAAAAAATAATTATCTTCACATATTAATAGAAGATAAAATAGCTTGCTTTTGTTTTCGAATTTTGTAGTTAAACTGGAAGTTTTAATTAATTCATGAAATTTACTGTTTATAAACTATTTTATTTTCGTTACCCAAAGGCTCGTCGATTTAGATACGACCTATGGTAGTGCACGTTTTATACGTGATACATATTAGATAGGTAAAGCCCATTCTCTTTGATTGTAATCCGAAATTACCTAACTTTTAATTAATAACGGTAATACGTGCTTTAGCAAAAACTTAGACTCTTTGTTTATTTACATACTAAACTTTTATCACGGTTTTGGTTTGCTATTTTTTTAATAATGTAGATTTCAAATACCTAATAATATTATAAAATCAAATGCGAAAGTAACTCTGACTGTCTGTTACACTTTCATGGCTAAACAGCTGAACCGATTTTAATGAAATTTGGCATGGAGATACTTTGATTCTTGAGGACATAGGCTACTTTTTACCGACATGCACGAGGGCGGAGAAGAAATATTTCTTCTTGACAAAGGTATCACATTATACGCCTTTCTGTTTTCCTGACAACACATATAAAAATTTCACCATGATTGTTTGAGTAATGCCGGTAGGTAAACTTAAAAACAAACTTACCAGCGAACGAACAAATTTACAGTTGCAATTGTAATAATCATCATCATCAACAACAGCCTTTAATAGTCCACTGCTAGACATAGGCCTTAGAAAGGAGGTTTGGCCAGACGGATTGGTATAGGTTTTTTGTCAAGTTTTCCTTCTCTTTGCAGTGCTGTTTTCCTGCGTAGTATGCTTCCTTGGTCGACTCTTACGACACCCATTGTAATAATAGTTTGACTAAAAGGAGATAGGTACTTACATATAAGACCCAGTCTTTTGGACTGTGAGCATTGGTGCCACATACGTACAGCCGAGAGCCATCTCCCATAGGCTGAATCACACGAACATGGTTCCGACAATCGAAGTGCTGCAAGAAAAAAAAACGAATTAGAATTGGTTACAACTTTATACATTTTACAATTTATAGTATTTTTTAAAATACAATTGTCACGTGATGCAATCGAAATGTCAGTAATTATAATTCTAGGTTGACTTACACATTTATAATCAGGCCAAGATTAAATCGACCCTGACTCGAGCCTAAATTTAAAGAGCCTTAGACACCTAATTCCCTAAAAGAGTAAACAGTATTAAACATCATTGTTTTGGAAACAATAAGAATGATCCCAACAAAGTTATAGGAATAATTGAATGTTTTTTTTTATTGCTGCATTGGTAAGAAGGTGATTATCCTTTGGCATCTTTATGCTTTTTAAAGAAAAAGTACAATTTCATTTTGTAAATATCTGTAATCTGAATGTTTATTAAATTGACATTATGACATTTAAAACGAAATTAACGTTGTTATTGTGAAACTGCAATAACATTTTGTTTTATAACTTTAATGAGCTTACTTTACGAAGTCACAGCCAAAAGATTAAAATATTACAAAGGGTTATTATCATCAATAACAATAAACTGTTGCAACAGACGAAAGCATCGCCAAAAGATGCTTGAGTACCTCGGGCCAAATTCATTGGAATAATAGTAATTCCGAAGTACGTGGATGCATATGAGTGCTCACAGACTGTGATTATGCAAATTTGCCTCCGACATAAATATTAAACGGCACATTAATATTCCGAGCGACAGGAATGCATTGCTCGCTTTACCGGTTAAAACAGTGCTATATTGGTACATTGCAGTTCATTATGGTTTATTAAAGATCCATTTAAAAAATGGATATTTCATGTCGATCATTTGGGCACCGGTTTTTCGATGGTAATAGCTCTTATTTATTCACTAGGACCAAAACTGCTAAGTTCACCATAAACCAATAAATTTTTACAACTCGACACATCTCATACACGGCCTCAGTCTGATCACAAACAGGCAGAGCTTGTACTATGAAAACCAGATTTCTGATAATCATATTGATATATTTCTAAGTACATATTATAGAAGAACTAACTAAAGAGACCCAGAAACAGAACTAATGATAGTGGTTATCATTTTTGTTTTATCTTAGGTGAGAATTGACACGACTGGCTTAGAACTTAATTTTTTTTAATCGTTGAAGAAGAACTGTTAGCAAAGCGAATCACATATGTATCTACTAATGCATGCGATATTTGGATTGACTTCTATTTAAATTGTGATGGTACAAAAAACAACACTAAGAACTTCTTTTGTATCTGCACAAATAAATCTCAACCGTGTAATAACAGCTTAGTACTATGGCTTTGGACAAATAAAAGCTTAGCATAGTAGAGGTACACAAAACATACTGTAACATCGACGCAATTAATAAGAATGTAATCGAAAAATGCAAAATCTATTAAAGTTGCTTTATTTATTCAGCCTTAGATTGGGATGTGGTTTGTGGTTGATCTAGCTAGAAAATAATTTTCTCTGCGCCTTTATGTCTACACGAGATTCGATCCGAAACTAGTTTTCACTTAAAAACCTATTATATTGTAATAAATCTTTAGCTGATTTTTATTTTTGGTTTAAAATTTAAAAAAATAGTCCTATTTATTACTTTTTACAAATTAATTGTGAATCAGAGTTTTCATATCATAAATTACGATTATTTTGAATCCTATCCTTGTTAGTTTGGTCCGTTGCTTGTACGAGTACTCTCATTTATAAACCTTTTAACTTGTTCCAGTATCTAAAATTAGAAAACTTTTGTCAATTATCTGCAGATTATTCATCTAATGCAACCCAAAATACTCATGCTTGATTTTTGATTAGTCATACACAGGATCCTGTATGTTCGTTTAACTTTCTAACTTGTAGAGTTTAAACTTTCTTATCTAGAAAAAAGAGCCGAGTATAATGGCAATTGTGTTTTCCTCATAATATCGTGAGCACATGCCTTTCAACTACTACTTTATTCTTCAAATATTTTCAGGTTAGACAATTACAATTTTAAATTCCAGGTTTGCTTTTTGAATTAAAGGTCTAGGTATTGAAATCGATTGTATAGTTTGTCATTTTTGAAAGCACTTAATAAACATTAGTAAACTATCACAACAATATTAACATCAACTGTACTAATTGAGTACCCAAATCTTATAAGTAACCATAATTGTATTAGTTAGAACATAAAATCAGTAGCTGTGCTGAAACTCGAGTTGAAACGAGTACGTGTAAGTAAGCAATTAACGGAGAGCTTTGTTTGTTAATAAAAAGTTTTGTTCAGCGTTTCTTTGGTTCGGCCCAACGAGGTAACTTTGCGAGAGATTGTTCTAAAGTAATTATCGGATTAATATACTCTGAGCGTTCACCCGTAGTACTGACGTGAACACAGAACTGTTTTGCACTCAGAAACAATCAGAATTAAGCAAGAGAACAATCAAGCTCACGTCTAAGTTTCTTTTAACGGCACTTAGCCAGGGGCGCTCGCATAACTTCACTCGGAACTAATGCCTTCGATTGGACCATTTCGTTAATTATTCGCCACTTTGTACGTAAGTAGATTTACGGCGGGCTTTCCTCGCATTTTTCTACCCAAAAAGATTTTATTCTTGTTTTTCAGTAATGGCTTTTATTAGGAATTTAAGAGCTCTGATTTGCATTACCAATACGAAACATTTTATTGGTTTTGCCACGATACTGGTCTACACAGAGGTCGTAATAAGTACTAAAAAATAAAAGAATTCATGGTAAGTAGGGTTTTAGTAAATGCACTCTGAAGTCAGTGCCATTGTTTATTCCATTTTGGATCGAAATGTTTTTATTTGGTTAAAAGATAAAAGATTTGAAAAACCCATTAAATAACGCATAGAAACAAAATATTGAAAGTCATAGTTGTGTTAAGCGACGAAAACCCAATCTAAAATATAAGTTAATAGAGAGATATAATTGCGGGGGGGCTGACTCCCGGGCGGAGAGCGGATTTCGCCCTCCGCCCGAGGATGTGCGCGAGTGGCGCGAAGCCGCTCGCCGAGCCACGATGGCTCGTTGGTCGTTCCGGCTGGAGACTCCACGCGCTGGCTTCGCCGCCGTGGAGGCTCTCCAGCCGGTCATCGCCGAGTGGGCAGGGCGGCAGCACGGGACCCTTTCCTTCCGGCTGACGCAGGTGCTTTCCGGGCACGGTTGCTTCGGAAAGTACCTGCACTCGGTCGCTAGGAGGGAACTGAGTCCCGCCTGCCACCACTGCGACTGCGGTGCGGACTCGGCCCACGCTGGCGGTCTGCCCCGCATGGGCGGCGCAGCGCCGGGCCCTCACCGCAGTCATCGGAGTGGATCTCTCGCTGCCGGCCGTAGTACGCTCCATGGTCGGTAGCGATAGTTGTTTTACCGCGGTCGCAACCTTCTGCGAGGTAGTAATCTCGACGAAGGAGGCGGCGGAGAGGGCCCGGGAGGACGACCTCCACTCGGACCCGATCCGCCGCCAGCGAACCGGGCGGCGGAGGCCCGCCTATCACAGCCTCATGCCGCCCTGAGTGTGGCCGCGGGTGGACGGGGTGGGTTTCCCCTCCACCCGCATTAGTTTGGCCAGCCGCGAGGGGGCGGCGTCCGCGTGTGCCGGACGTCGCCTAAAGAGAGGAACAACATTGAGACGGAGCCCGCACCAGGAGCGGGCTGGCGCTAGGAGGGGTCCGGATGTCTTAACAACAGCTATTCCCGGATCCCTCCTGTTACAGGAGCAGAGTGGCACACCGTGTGGTTTTAGTCGGTCCGAGTCCGACACACCACCCCGCCGCAAACCCCGGAGGGGTGACGGTCCGAGGGGATTTCCACACGTAAAAAAAAAAAAAAAAAAAAAAGCTCGAAACTAATTTTCTCTGCGCCTCTGCGCCTCTATGTCTACAGCGAGATTCGATCCGAAACTAGTTTTCACTTAAAAACCTATTATATTGTAATAAATCTTTAGCTGATTTTTATTTTTGGTTTAAAATTTAAAAAAATTAGTCCTATTTATTACTTTTTACAAATTAATAGTGAATCAGAGTTTTCATATCATAAATTACGATTATTTTGAATCCTATCCTTGTTAGTTTGGTCCGTTGCTTGTACGAGTACTCTCATTTATAAACCTTTTCAACTTGTTGCAGTATCTAAACTTAGAAAACTTTTGTCAATTATCTACAGTTTGAGATTCATCTAATGCGGGTTGCATTAGATGAATCTATGAATGAAAATACTCGTGCTTGATTTTTGATTAGTCATACACAGGATCCTGTACGTTCGTATAACTTTCTAACTTGTAGAGTTTAAACTTTCTTATCTAGAAAAAAGAGCCGAGTATAATGGCAATTGTGTTTTCCTCATAATATCGTGAGCACATGTCTTTCAACTACTACTTTATTCTTCAAATATTTTCAGGTTAGACAATTACAATTTTAAATTTCAGGTTTGCTTTTTGAATCAAAGGTCTAGGTATTGAAATCGATTGTATAGTTTGTCATTTTTGAAAGCACTTAATTCAATAAACAGTAGTAAACTATCACAACAATATTAACATCAACTGTACTAATTGAGTACCCAAATCTTATAAGTAACCATAATTGTATTAGTTAGAACATAAAATCAGTAGCTATGCTGAAACTCGAGTTGAAACGAGTACGTGTAAGTAAGCAATTAACGGAGAGCTTTGTTTGTTAATAAAAAGTTTTGTTCAGCGTTTCTTTGGTTCGGCCCAACGAGGTAACTTTGCGAGAGATTGTTCTAAAGTAATTATCGGATTAATATACTCTGAGCGTTCACCCGTAGTACTGACGTGAACACAGAACTGTTTTGCACTCAGAAACAATCAGAATTAAGGCAAGAGAACAATCAAGCTCACGTCTAAGTTTCTTTTAACGGCACTTAGCCAGGGGCGCTCGCATAACTTCACTCGGAACTAATGCCTTCGATTGGACCATTTCGTTAATTATTCGCCACTTTGTACGTAAGTAGATTTACGGCGGGCTTTCCTCGCATTTTTCTACCCAAAAAGATTTTATTCTTGTTTTTCAGTAATGGCTTTTATTAGGAATTTAAGAGCTCTGATTTGCATTACCAATACGAAACATTTTATTGGTTTTGCCACGATACTGGTCTACACAGAGGTCGTAATAAGTACTAAAAATAAAAGAATTCATGGTAAGTAGGGTTTTAGTAAATGCACTCTGAAGTCAGTGCCATTGTTTATTCCATTTTGGATCGAAATGTTTTTATTTGGTTAAAAGATAAAAGATTTGAAAAACCCATTAAATAACGCATAGAAACAAAATATTGAAAGTCATAGTTGTGTTAAGCGACGAAAACCCAATCTAAAATATAAGTTAAAGAATTTAAATTTCACGCACAGAGGAATATGAAATTTTGAATACTAAAGGCTTATGCAGACACCGGTGATAATGCCAGCCGAGAAATTGCCGTATATCGAAAGAAGTCTATAAAATGGCCGTAGAGAGGCTACTATGACAGTTCAAGATATGATAGTCAACGGTATAAGACGTAACATTTAAAAAATAATGAATTATGATCTGTCTCTAGTTGTTATTATTCGATTCTGGTCATGACTTTTTCAAGTTCAGAATTTTATTATTTCTTCATCTCACTTTCATCTTAGCTGTGATTTTCTTTAATAGTGTCAAAATAGTTTTAAGTTCACCGGCAACTTAAAACGAGAGAGAGAGAACGCCTTACGGAATTCGCCGACGCCATTCCCAGCCTTTTTCGTGTTACGACATCGTGTTTAGAGAAAGGAAAACTCGCCGACAGCGAGAAACTTTGATTATAGCTTTCACGAGTGGCCGTTCCATTCGCGATTGAGGTGATAGACTCGGGAATATTTCTTTTTTATAGCCCTCTTTGATACTAATAAAACAAATTTACTTTTTTCTCCATCGAAAGAGTTGGAGTGGGTAGCATGTGGTCTATTACTTTTCTTCTTACACTATTGCGGAAGTTTAACCTTTTATTTGCTGGTTTTGCTACCGGAATACTTTGTAGCCCTAAACTTGTGAATTTGCTTTTGGCTGTTTTTGTTTCTATCGTGGCCATATAGACACCTTTTAAAGTCGCAAAGAGCTTTTACTTCTCACTGCTAGACTTTTATATTGCGTATCAGACGTCCTATTTCTGGTTTCGAACTTTATGACTTTCTTATTAGATATGAACGTGTCTGAGAAAGACAACAAATAGTTATAAATAAATACGACACCATACGTCGGGACGTAGCAGTTTTATGACGAAAACATAATAACTAACTTTAGAACAGAGTCGAGTACATTACGAATAAAAACAGATAAAGAGAATTATTCAAGTGCAACGGCTCGCATAGTGTGAATATTATCAAATTAGTAGATGACGCACTGAGGCAAGTCGTAATAATTGCCGTTCCCCGATCTTTGAGAGAACCTCCAACCGCTGAGAAATAAAACAAATATTGCTTTTACGTTGCGATTGTAAATCAAAATTAACGGCCTTAATATAGCGAGGCAAGGCATGGCTGTAAGCCCACCCGCTATGAAATATGCTCACCGCCCGCCGCTCACAGTTAAAAATGGGATTAACCCTTGATGGAAATAGTGCTAGTTGTGAGTAATTTTGCAGAAATGAGGAAGTTTTAATCACTTCTCTGTAAATGCTGCATATAATGGTAATGCGAGACGGCAATACATGCAATTTTATCACGTAAGTGTCTTAAAATCGGTGTTACTAGTTAGAAATTGTTTGGTGTAATGAACTTACCTCAGATTTTCCTTTCGACACGCATTGTGCTACGTTGCTCGGCTCCAAATTTATTGAATCTCTCTGCAAACAAAGAGGCGTGTTTTATTGTTTTACTGTTATATTACGTGTTTTAAATAAGTAAATTAAATTGAAATATTTTATAAATATTTTATTCTTTATATCTAATTTCAAGACACTTTAAATATTTAACCAGAATTAAGGTTTTATGTTAGAAATGGATGTGTGATATAAAATACTTAAGGAAATATTTTTGGAATATAACAAATCTTTAACTTACTAAACATATATAAACCATAAAAAAAAATAGTTAATCTGTTACATTACTTACTTCACAATGCGATGCACTGATGTTATTCATATTTAGCCGATATAACCGATCCCTGAAAAAAGAAAGTTTCATAAGAAAAACATAAAAGAAAAGTAGTAAAACTCTTCTAAGTTAGGCTATTTTAATGTAAGAGTTGAGTCATTTCGCTGTACATCAGAGGGTGTATGGTTACAAACTTGCATCAAAGTTACCATAACGTTTATAAGAGGATTGTTTTATAGCTGAAAATGTGGCACTATTATTCCCCAAGCGAAATTAGTTGCCACCGTGACACACACGATTGACCTATATCACCTCTTTTTATTGAATCACCATTCTAACTGGACCCTATTGACTTCGGGAAAACTTTGTAAAATAAGCGCTCTCAGTATAGAACTATAAAGTATCTGAGGTCAAGTAGGATTGGTTATAGGTTGACTGTAGTCAACGAAAATAAAACTGATATGGCAGCGCACTCGTAAAAATAGCTATTTGATTGTATTGGACCGATTGCTTTTTATTTTGTGTCGAAAAAATGATAGATACGTGAAGATTTGAATTTAAGGTCGAAATGAGATTTGTTCTTTATGAGCTTGAATGTTTCATATATTGTTTTTCCTTTTCGTTTATACAGGATTATTTGTTTCTTTCGTTTTATATTAAGTTTTGGCAATTTTATTTAGTTTGCTATTTACGGATATGATTTTCGAAGACCTATAAAACGTAAATACTTACAATAGCTTCGTTGTATAAATGAAACAATAACAGTTAACGATTTTTTATACTTTCGACAGTAATAGTGGTATTAGTAGTAGGAGATTTTAAATATTATGGAAATTGTTTTCACTCTTTTTTTCACTAGCCTTTGATGATTAGTAATTGTCTATGCTTAGTCTGTTAGGACCTCTCTGAACTAATATTAACAGACAACTCAAAATGTTCTTTCTGGCAGAATATGATAGCAGTACAGTTGTTAAAGCAATTTTGTATTTAAAAATTGCTATAATATTTTTACATAAATATTTATCGTTGTCTCTAATTTACTGTGTTTTGTATCTCTTTTAATATTTATTATTATTAACTTAATTAATTAAATATCATCATACAGTATTGCAAAATATATTTCACTTGATTTTACTTTATTCAGCATTTCAACTTAATTTTAACTATCTGTCTATATTTACAAAAGATAATATAATTAATAAAATAGAACGCGGTCCTTTCTCGTATGTCAAATTTAAATATTTGCATAAAAAACTACAGACGCAAACGCTTTAATTTTTTCTAAAGGTGATTCTTACAAAAAAAATTGAATTAAAAAAATAGACATTTCCAGGCCATTATCAGAAAGCCGTCGTAATATACTAGACTGGTATATTTAGGACAGATTCAAGCTTTAAGCGTATTAGACCTGCTGAATAACCTTACAAGAGGCAGCTACCTCCGGGTTTGGATATTAGAACATTAGTTAAAGTATAGTACACAAAAAGGATAATGAAAAGTAGAGCGCTCTGTTATGATTTTTTTTAAAGACATCACCCGCATTCAACAAATATCCTGTCTTGCGGGAGAATTTACAAACATACATGAAACAGACACAAAAAATACCCAGTCTCATAACAACAATTTGTGGATCACACAAAGTGTTGTCCCATGTGCTGATTGAAACCACAACACTCAAAGCAGTAGGAAGCGGCGAGGTTACCGCTTAAACCACTGCGACATCAGTGGAGTGCGATTATGTTTTCAGTGCGATATCTTTTTTGCTAAATTTAAAAAAATATTTGTATTTTGAATAATTAGAACTACTTACATAGCACCTACGTATAGGGCATCTCTCTTGGAGTCCACGAAGAATGTTCGATAGTACAGTGTGCCGCAAGAAAACTCTCGAACATGATCTGAGAAAAAGAGAATGAAAATTAGTTAACTGTGGTTTAACTGGTAGGATTTCTAGAATGTTTTACATCGGAGTCAACATACAACCAAACTAGATTTGCGAATTTCTATATTAATAAAACTTATACTATTAAGCTGATATTTTTAAACGCAGGATCAAAGTGCTGTTCGAAAAGGTCGCCTGCTCACAAATACCGAGCTATTCGAGATGAGACATCAAAGATACATTGTTGGCGGGCATTTATTTTTCATTCATGTGAGTAAAATACACGATATAACAAGGTTTATTTGCGAGGTTGTTACAGTTACTTTGAATAATGTCGTGAATTACCTAATAATATTTAAGTAACCCATTTAAATTCCTTTTGACATCCTTTTTTCTCGGTATTCCGGCAATAGTATTAGGTGCATATCATGATATTGGTTTTCATTATTTTTTCCAGGGGGCAAACAAGCAGACCTGGTAACCTGATGTGAAGTGACTACCACAACCCATGAACGCCTGCAAGGCATTAGTCACAAGAGCATTGCCGGCCTTTGGGGTAGAATAGTACAGTTTTTCTTGAAGGTTTGAAAAGCTACTGCTACATGAATATACGTTTTGTTTATGGTCCAAGATTCAATGTATAGTCTTATATTATGCTAGATACTTTTAGCCGTTTGTTTTAAGTAAAATTATAGTGAATAATACGAAATCATATACGCATAATAAAACATTTGATATTTTGTTAAATTTAAAAATGTAACGGAAACAAGCAACTACCAGTAAACAAATATAGATATAAACTCTTACAATTATAATATAATGCATTTATATATTATGAACTTTTGAATTACGATACTTAAACACTGTACATTCTTAAAAAGAAAAAAATTCATGTTTTAGAAGACGCTTTTACGACGTTTTTAATGATAATAACACAACAAAATAAAAAAATACATTCATACAACGACGGTTGGAGAGTTCCTAATTGTAATTTTCGTATAAGTTTAGTAGCATGCCGTCTTATTTGTAGAAAAATTGTCTACTGATCATAATTTTGACTTTCAAGTAATATCGGAGATTGCACTCCTATGTCAATTATCGTCAAAGTTACGAACTTTAGATTTGTCAATATTTCATTCAATAACATGGTCTGGGAACTTCAATAAAACAATTTTCATTTTGTAACAGTCTAACCAGTACAATAGGCCTTATTTTATTGAAATTCTTGCGTGTTTCTAGTTTATTACTTGGACTACATGCAGTCGGTACACGTAGGATAGAGTCACGCACTAAAAGCCAATGTTTACTCCAACAAACGACGAACATCACTGAAATTACGAGCTTTGAACAAATTGAACGAAACGTGACTACAATGCTTTTTATGTTCTCAGTAAATTGTCCCTAAATTATAAGGTCATTAATTTAAATAATTTTATTATTAGAACAAAAAAATCATGCACACATACATACATTATGGTAGGTATTCGGCTTACTAGACTATTTTTTTTGTCATTACGATATGATAAGAATATTAAACAAGTAACGATAACATTATCAGGATATGGGTAAGAGAAAAATTAAATAACTATGACATGTCAGAGATACTTACTTATTATAGGCTTATGCAGATTTTATTATCTGTGGATTGACAGGCAAATTGAAATTTAAATAATTTTTATTCGAAAGCAGTCAACGTGTTTTTATTTTGTGAAATTTTGGTAGTTTTTAGCGCCATGGATAAAATAAAAATTGGTACAATTTTCGAATTTGAGTTCCTACATGGAAATACCACTGCGCAAACAACACGAAACATCAAAGACATGTACGGGCCTAACACCGCTTGCATAAATACGATCCAGTATTGGTTTAATCGTTTTAGATATGGAAATTTTGGCGATGTGGAGATATGGAAATGGCGGCCGGTAACTATAGTTGACAACGACGAATTAAAGGCGATAGTCGAAGCGGATCCAACTCAATCTAAGGCTGTAAAAAAGTAATGTATGTAAAGTATGCATAGCAATACAAAATCAGCATAGAAACGAGGGAATTCTGAAGCGCATTGTTACCTGCGATGAAAGTGGATTCTGTACGACAACCTTAAGCATTCGTCTTAGTAGTACAGTACCTAATCAGTGCGCCAAAAAAAAGATTAACCATAGGAAGATGATGGTGACTGTCTGGTGCACCAGTGGCTTTATATATCGCAGCTTCTTACCGAATGACACAAGAGTGACGGTTAATGTCTATTGCCAAGAATTGCAAAAAATGATGGAGAAGCTCGCAAATTAACAACTACGACTAGTGAATCGCTCTTTCCCATTGCTTCTCTACAACAACGAGCGAGCTCACTTTTCACGACAGACCATCGCAAAACTGCAAGAGTTACAGCTGGAAGCTCTCCGTCACCCACCGTACTCACCGGATCTTGAACTAATATATTCCTACTTTTTTCAATATCCATACAGACATTTTTTTAAGTGGGAAAAATTCAACACCCGAGAGACAGTATAAAACGCTTTCGCTGACTGCATCGCCTCCCGTCTAGCAGACAGACAGCAGCGACGTCCATTCTACAGTAAATTGATAAACAAACTGTCATCAAAATGTAAAATTTGTGTAGATGATGTCCGTGTGGTGACGGATTAAGAATACAGAGTTTTACCACCCTTATTCATCCCGTGGGTGTCGTAAGAGCCGACTAAGGGAAAAAACTACGCAGAACAACAGCACTCCAGTGAGAAGCAAAACTGGTCACAAACCCTATACGGCTATACCAACCCGTCAGGCCAGCGTAGGCCATAGTAGGCTAAAACCTCCTTCCTAAGGAGAGGCTTATGATGATTTGGGCCAGTACTTTAAGTAGCTAAAAAAAATAACCAAATTTTTTGTATTTTGAAATTTTCCTACAAGTCTCCAACTAAAGACCTAACATGTAGTTACTTGTATTTCTTTTGTCTTGATGCTTAGTTTAGAAAACAACAGAAGTTTTCGCACTAAATTTATGTACTGTTTACACTCTTCAAATTATTACCACTATTTCTATCTATATCATTGTTAAACAATGCCGTAAAGGCGAAATCAGTATTTAGGTTCAAAGGTGGATAGCAAAGTTAGTATTTTAATCGACTTTATTGACGAGTTTATTATTAATTAAGCAGTGAGTTTCATGAAAAAACCTCAAAATTCTGGTTTTTGATCAAACATTTCTGTCTAGTAAATAAATATAAATATTTTAGATACTTTTCACACACGGTCGCCTGGTTCCAAATCAGGCAGTCTGTACTATGTATAAAGATACTTAAATGTTTCGAGACTTACTTACTTACTTACATATTAATTATAATCAAACACAGAATAAATGATACTGCTCAACATCATAATTATGTTTATCCTGGGTGGAAATCGAACCTACCACCCAACACGCCAATCTAAAAATCTTAAAGACAAAAAAAAAACTTATCTATTTTATCATGATTGATGATGATGTCTGTTCAAGTTATTAAAGTAATCCAGTTCTAAACAATCCTTGCAAAAACTCTTTAATAAAATAATTTAAGGCTTCACATAAGCTTTAAAAGGATAGATAAAAGTAAATAAAGGACGCATGAAAAGATTTAGAATCTGATTCTAAAAATATAAAAATATGAAAGTGAACACTTTTACTGGACAGTCGAAAAATATTCAAGCATTTTCGTTTGTTTTAGTGTTCTGAACGTCTATCAGTCTACGTAACTGACTGACTCGTATTTCGTATTTTCTAGGCCGCGCGCCGTCCTTCTCCTTGTTTTGATCTCTCCTACAAATATCGATTTAGGTTGTTTGGTCTTGTTTATGTTGAATGCACCATCATTCGTCATACGGAGAAATTCAGAAGCTAAAGTTTCTTTGACATATCTTATCTCTGCTTCTTATTTGCTGTTGCGCTTATTTAATCTGAACATTGTTTATGTAAAAATACATTATATCCATTAATAGAGTTTATATTATACGTTTATATTATACATTTATATTTTTGTTTATATTAAAAAGAAGTGGTATGCAGGAGTTTTTAGTCAAAACTAAATAATACTTTTGTTATAAATATGAACTAAAGTCCCTAGAATATTTTACGCTATAAAGATTTGACTTTATCCCCTTTCTCAATAGACTTTGAATTGGAACATTATATGTTGTAGGAAATAGAGGTGTGTGAGACTTCAAGAATCGAGAATTACTTTCAGACAAGACACCTCTGGGATACCATTTGGAGCCCTCTGTAACTTCAATTTACATACGCTGCCAATTGTAAGCTAGTCTCAGTTTACAGTTGGAGAGTTTGTTGCTATAGTTGGCAAATAATAGGGGTTAAATTATGAAATTGCCGTTATGGTGTGTGTGAAATGGTAACTGTTTGGTATTCTCTTCATTGTGTTATTGACTATAGCTTCCTCACGTCTGGTCAGGCAACAACAGCAGATGTTTACTGTGCCGAACTTCGAACAATGATGGTAAAACTGGCAGTGAAACAGCCCCGACTTGTAAATCGATCTTCACCATTATTGCTTCATGATAACGCAAGACCTCACACTGTTCGAGAAACCGTTGTAACTCTTAAGGAGCTGCGGTTACGTTACAAACCTGACTTTTTTTTTTGACTGCACCGATGGCGTAGTGGTTTAAGCAGTCGCCACGCCGCTTACTATTACGCTAAGTGCTGTGGGTCCGATCCCCATATGGGACTACACTTTGTGTGATCCACAAATTGTTGTTCTGAGTCTGGGTGTTCTTTGTGTCCGTTTCATGTATGTTTGTAAAGGCCCCCGTGACACAGGATATACTTATTCCTAATGCGGGAGTTGTCTTTAAAATAAATCATATCATCTTCCGTACTCGCCAGACCTCGCTTCAACAGACTACCATTTTCTACGTGATAAAAAAAAATATTCCCAGGAGGCAGTACAAAATGCTTTCACAAAGTTTGTCGAATCTAAATCCCCAGAGTTCTATCGTAAAGGCATAAATGAACTTCCGCTTAGATGGCAGCAATGTATAGAAAATGCGTTTCAATATTTTATAAAATAAATATGTTACATTTTAGAAAATAAAAGTTTCAATTTTTCAGTACAAATCAGCAATTCCATAATTTACTATTTTTATTTCTATTTTCCATAATTTTATTTCCTTACTTACTTTATAGAAACTAAATGAAGTAACCGCCAGGTATTTTTAGTATACCTATAATTTTTACTTCTACCCATTTTAAAAGTTAGCACCTTATACTTTTTTTTATAGCGCTTCAGTATAAAATTACAGACACACACAAAAACATATATCTTGCGAAGCAAACTGACATAAAAATTCGTATCAAATTATATCACACACAATTTATCTGTGTCATTTATATGTACGTGTGTGTGTGTGTGTAAAAATTCTCAGTTTTGGGATAAAAGGTCTTGTAGGGAGTAACTATTATCATTAAGTTTGACGAGCAGCTTTCTGTTTAGCTGTTAACTATTATTAGTACACAAGAAAATGCTTCCACACGTCCTGCAGATAGATCCCTTAATCACCTTTTACGATGCTCCAAGACGTGATGTTGTGATTCAGGACTAAGCAAACTCATGAGAAATCTTGGAATATTATATGTATAAAACTTTGCTCATAAACAAAAATGAAAACATATTTTATGTTTTCATTTTTGTTTACGACCATGTTTGTGGTAAGTACGTAAGTTGTTGCACATTGTGATATAAAATTATTACAAATAACAACAAAATAAAGTTGAAATGAACTTTGTAACTTGAAGATACTATCATATTTGATAGGTAAACTAAATTTGTGTTTGTGTGTGTTTTTATTTAGCGTAGGGGGGCAAATGCAGTCGGGCACGCCGTCATCGCGGCGGTAAGACCCGTTATGGAGGATTGGATAGAGAGGCGTCACGGGACCCTCTCATACCGACTGACGCAGGTGATCACTTTGAAAGGATGTTTCGGGGATCACCTGTGTCTGATCCGCAAGGAGCCAACGCCTGAGATGGCCAGACCGTGGACACGGCTCTCCACACGCTGGCAGAGTGCCCGGCGTGGGTTGAGCAGAGGCGAGACCTCGTGGCGGCCATCCAAATGGGAGTTCTCTCGCTCGATAGCCTGATTGCGGCTTTCGTTGCGGAGCGAGAATGCGTGGAACTCTGCCGTCCCCTTCTGCGAGCAAGTTATGCTTGCAAAGGAGACGGCGGAGCGGGACCGGGAGAGGTGTAGGACTCTCCCGGCCCGCCAGGCCCGGGAACGGGCCAGGTACCGCAGGCGACTCAGGCAGGCAGGCAGTCGCAGAACGACCTACGTCCTCCATAAGCGCAGGTATCCGAGGGGATTTCCGCGGAAAAAACAAAAAAAAAAAGGGGGCAAATGCAGTGATTTAGGGATTAAAATGGAAACACTGTAGTTTACTAAGAGAGCAAACTACGCAGGACAACAGCACTGCAAAGAGAAGGAAAACTTGAAACAAACCCTATACCAACCCGTCTGGCCAGCGTGGTATAGTAGGCCAACCCTCCTTTCTAAGGAGAGACCTATGTCCAGCAGTGGACTGTTATAGGCTGTTGATGTGTGTGATGATGGTGAACTATAAAAATACAATATAGAAACAAGAAAGGAGACATGATAAAAGATAGTAACGAAATCCGAATAAAAGATAAAAGATGTTAACTTGTCTAGCGTGTTTTAGTATCATTTGGGTATTCTGTTGTTTGTGTCATAATAATAATGTTTTGCTAGGACTTTTGAAATTAACTATTTACCAATATTACACCAATGCTAATTTTATTCTCTAAATGAGACTCAAAGGATTGGTGAGAAATTCTGTGGAATAACTCATAGTCATTAGTTTTAAGGCCTTGCATAGATGAAGCAAAAGCTTCCATGTGAAAACCGCGCAGTATTATCACATTGTCTAGATACGGGGTTGCCGTTGTTCTATTTAGGTATTAGGCATTAAAATTTCTATGAATCAAGTATCAGTGCAGTCATTCGTTGACACAAAAATGTGTTGCTCTTATTAATTTAAACCGAATTGGCCTAAAAATAAAACATATTTTGTTGTCACAAGCGCGGCAAACGCGTTGTTATATGTCTCAAATATTTATTAAAATATTCAGACAATATGTCCTTCACTTTCAACAAATTGGAGAGTACAGTAACTAGTTGAGGTCGCAGCTAATAAGCAAAACTATAATTAGCTAGAGGACGATATCAAGATCTTGTGAGCTTAAATCGGCACGCGATGTGTTTAAGCAGTAACACGACAACGTACATCTGATATAAGAACCTACTTTTTGGTTTTACTAGAATTCTTTAATAGAGGCTTATTTAATAATACGATATGGTTAACGTAATCACTAGTTATGGGCTTATCTAAATATATCTGATTAAATATATTTAAGTAGAAATGTTATTTTCGTTTCGTTATTATCGTGATTCAATTGCTTGAGTCGTGAGTTAATATTAAAGCTTTTTTTGTCTTTATATCATAACGTTCAATTTATCTTTATTGGACTTCATTTATTTATTCGCAAGGCAGTCTTTGTTTTGAATTACGAGTACTTGTCACAAATTAGGAATTATAAATAATTTAGCTATTCCATTCTTAGTATTACAAACGTTTCCCGATTTCGAGGTTGTAAAGTTACACTGAGTGAACACGACTTCATTGTGGTAATTGTTTTATCGCATGAGTAGAACTCCAGTGGTCAGGTAGGGAGGCTTTCGTTAAGGGGGGAGGGTAACGTCCCTCACAGCTGGAACTCTTAGGAAGAAAGTCATAATAAACCTGCGCACGTTTCAGAGATCCTATCACACGGTATTATTTTGGTCAAGGGTAGTTTGAGCAAACAACATGCTTTATATTTTATGGATACTGTAATTTGTAAGGGTAAGTACCCCTGTTTTCATTGTATTTAGGTTACTGATATAGTTTAATGTCTTTTATGTAAAATCGTGAATAGGTTGGGAACTATTTGGAGACAATGGGCCAGATAAGGTTTAGTTGTTTACACATGAGTCTCACAATAAGTCGGACAATACGCAATGTGTGTCGTTATTGATTTGTTTGATACATGTTTTCAATCAATCAGCACAAAACATTGTATATATAAATAACTCATACATCTGTCTCATAAAATCGTGACAATACGTAATAGGGCTGACTTCGCACGGTAAGCAAAGCGTTCAACATCGTTTTATTTGATGGATTACATAGCGATTACGGTCGACAGGAAATCCGCGTATTTTTCATTTGGCAATTGTAACGGTGTGCCTGATATGAAAATATCGTTATACACGGCACCGATTAGATTAACGGCACACAATTGGTTTACATGAAAGCTATTGGTTGTTAGCTCCTTGCAATGCCCGTAACTGTTTTATAAGCTTATTATTAAAATTTGTTTGTGATATATGTTGAAGCGTGAAATTTACGAGTTACTTTGTGTGTATTTGTCATTTGATGCTGTTTTTATTGTCATGTTTGTCATCAAAAGAATTACATGAAATGTACCATTGTCCGTTTGTAATACTTATGAGTGTTATTTATGTATCTTATTACATTTTTTGGAAGTTAATTTTTCAACTAGAACTCAGACTGGCCTGTCGGTATAGTGGTTAGCGATACTAACTGCTAAACCTGAGATGTGTAACTTGTGAAGATAGTGTGACGATCATTTGTTCAGCCGATGGAGGAGTGGTTTAAGAGTTGACCTTGCCGCTTTCTACTGCTCACTTGGTGTGATCCACAAACTGTTGTTCTGTGTCCGAGTGTTCATTGTGTCCGTTCTATGGATGTTGGTAAAGTACCCCAGACACAGGATATATCGTAGTAAAAATCTTAACAAAAGAATAAAAAAGAAATGTGTCTGGGTGTAATTTAACTATAATATATATTTATTTAGATATATATAAGCATATTAATATAGAAAAATATGCGCCCTGTTAATGTCAACTAGTGTGCCACCTATTACGAAAACGGGACTGAAATTATATTCAGCAAAATGTGGGCGTTTTAATAAGCAACTGTTTACTCGTTCGCAGATAATATAAGTGAATGTATGCATGTAAATAGTGAACGAAAACCAGGAAAATTAAAAATCAATAGAACACAAGTTTTTATTTGAACATAAGTATTTATAATAAAGCTGTTTAAAGTAGTCAATATTAGAATTTTCTATTTTGATTTTTTTAATGGAATCAGGGGCAAACGAGCAGACGGGTCACCTGATGGAAAACGTCTACCGCCGCCCACGAACTCAACTCAGGAATCACAAGCGCGTTGCCAGCCTTTAAGGAGGGATAAAGCTCTTTTTTTGAAGGTTTTAAGGTCGTTTCGGTTCGGACATACCGCAGCCGATAACTTGTTCCACAGATTGGAAATGCGAGGCCAAAAGTGTGTTGCAAAACGCACAGTGGTGGAGCGCCAATTATCCAAGTAGTAGGATGAAAATTTTGCCGTGCGGAACAATTTTTATCCCCACCACTGGCGAATGGCGGAAGGTTGCGGCCGGTATTAATCCGAAGAATTCCTCGGACACATATACTCGTACATGCACACCCGAAGTTCAACATGTTCGTTAAGTAATTAGGAAATTTAGGCTTGTTAAGATATGGCTTAAGTATCTTAAATTTCTGTTTAAAGGTTACTCACTCAGAATATATTTTTAAGAATGAAATACTGTTGTATATCAATTACAAAAAAAATATTTATATAGCCCAAAATATAAAAAAGAAAGCTAAAATTCCATAAAAATATTGTTAGTTTAATGAGCTTCCGTCTCCATTGGCCTTGTTTTATTTGTTATTGTTTAGGTAAATTATTAAACTAACTTCATAAAGGAAATAATTGTTGTAAAGTATGACGACCTTGTTGCTATTAGCATACAAATGAAATATGTAACCATTATAAAGTAGAAATTGTATATATATACCGGTTTATTTTGATATATGTCAAGCTTTATTAAAAAAGTACAAGGCTTATGAGTGTTACATAAGTTGATAACTAAGTTAGAAAAAAGAAAAAAAAATGAAAATGATAGACTATTTAGATACTTCTATTGCTTAATTATAATTAAATAATGGTTATTTTAATTATTATTAAAACATGATATATTTCAGTTTTCAGTTAACATATAGATATTACCATTCTTTTTTAGTGATATGATGTAACTAGTGCACCCACACACTTTTTATCTCAAAAGTCAAATTTATAATATTAATTTCAAAATACAAGAATTGCTTCCATAAGTATCTTTTGATTTCAAGACTACCAATTAATATGTTAAAGTATTAATATTCAATAATTCGTATATTATACTGATATGGAGAGACTTGCAGGGCAAGGCACAGTGGACGGCACAAGACAATAACAATCCGTGAACAGCCACGACCACTCTAGCAAGTGTCGAACTAAGAAGAAAAGATGTTATACGGATGCTAAGATCTAAAACATATATTAATATGTACTCACGAAGAGCGATCGACTTAACACTTCTAATGTATATATTAGTTTGACATTACTCGGCAGTTAAGATGCGGGGAAATGAATTTAACTTGTATACTCGTAATATGATATTTTAGTCACGAACTTCCTGAATACTCCGTTTAGCAGCGGCAAGTTGAACTAAGAGTGAGAGAGTTAATCGAGCACGTGTACAGATAAATGCATCAAATGAATTTTGATTTGATTTAAAAAAAAACCATTCGCGATCAAGATCGCTTTTTGCGATCGGAAATTGTTTGATTCTTGTTTATAGACGTTTATGGAGGTACTATATTGGATTAAAACGATAATCAGTTCAGGATTTGTTAATAAATTCTTTGAGATATCGAGGGCACTATTCAAGTATAGTAGGCAAGCTTGTAACTACTTGGGTATTTTTTTATAGAAACGCCTATATTTGCAAGCTAAGCAATATCTTGTAAAATACTATGACTAGATGAGCAGTTGATTAGTTAGTAGTTGATTGATATTACAGCTTAGATTAAGCTGTGAGGACAGAATGTAACTTTGGAAACACGTTGTACATAATTTTATACGTGGACCAATTTTACTATAAAGTTTCAAGAAAATAAAATACATGTTCGCCTAATTATCTATTTATATTTCATAACCTCGTAACTACAATATTACTTAATAGCTTTTGCTCGCGATTCCGCCAGCATGTATCTCGGTTAACGTATTTTTATAGCAGATATTTTATTTTATTATATTGTATTGTATTTATATGTGAAAAATTAACACATTTTTTTACCAAATTTTTTTTTTTATATTTACAGGTACTAAGAGTAGTTGATTTCTCTTGAGAAATGTTAACGGAAGCACCTGGGGCAGATAATAATCCTACTAGAAACCGCGCGACTTTTGTTACAAGAATATCCGAGTTGCAATCTGCCAGCTTTCGTTCACAAAGTGTTAATTCGTGGCTCAGAGGTTGTAAAGCATGCATTAGTGTCTATCGTCGAACTTTCCCAAAAAGACAAGCGGTGCTAATAATAGAAAAAAGACGAGTATTTATTCATAAAATCGATTTGTTGAATATTACCTTAATGCTACAGATGTATCAAAATTCACGTTTTCATTTTATCATTTCAATATTTCTAAGAAATTTAAGTAATTTGCAATTCTTAACAATTAATTGTATTTTTCAATAATTTGCACCCCTGTTCTTACTATTTTTTAAAAATATAATTATTGTAATGAAATACGAAAAATTACAATTAGTAAACATGCCTTTTTGATGTAGGGTAGCTAATTAAATATAATACACATAATTTGTAATTTTTACTGCCTTCGTATCCAGGTCCTTGCCCTATCTTTATCATCTAAACTTTCATCATAAACTAACACAATCTTGGGATACACTAGCAAACCGAGCCTTACATTTTTAAAACGTTATTAAACTTCAAAATCCATTAAATATTTTATTAAGGTCGGAACCCAGGGGCTATTAAAAGAGTATTATAAAGTATATCCAGTTATCTCATATGGACCATAATAAAGCATCAACGGAACTTTATCAGGCTCATCTTTTTTATGAACTTATTGAACAGAGTGCGAATATATCATAGTAGGAATATATCCTATGTAGATATATGTACAACAGTTATCCCAAATTTGTGGTAAGCCATAAATTTGGGGTCTTTTTTTTTGTTTAAGGAGAGTAAATCCCTTCGTATCTCCGGCTCCTTGGGGATATAGGAGCCAGGAGTATGTGGTGATTCCACTAAAAACCACTCCGACGGCCAGCTTTAGGCGCCCTGCTCTGGGGGGCACCCGGGCCATGAGATTTCAGGTACCCCAGATCGATGCCGCACCTAACTAGGCCCCATCTCAGGGAAAGCCTGTGGCTTCTCCCTGCCTCTCAGCCTATCCAGATGTTGCAGACCGATAACATTTTTAGTGCGATCAGGCTGCCATCCTGTAAGGGGGGGGGGGGGGGGTCTATTGACCCTACTTGACCATACTTAACGAGGACAGAAAATGGGTTTAAAAAAGTGACACCACTGAAAGAATCGAGGGGGTAGTAACAATGTAGAAAAATCCACATTGTCGCTTGGATAATAATTTATTTTAATCACTACAATTTAAATATTTTAAAGATAACTCCTCCACTAGAAATATATCCTGTGTCGCGGGAAACTTGACAAAAGAACGGATTTGATATCATAAATCAACACTCCTAAAAGTATTCATTTCTGCACGTATGAGTGCCAACGCGGTTTATAACATTTTATCTCAATAATCTTTTCCATAAAGTGAGACTTGATTTTATAGAAATAGAAAGATTATGCAATTCCACCATATTCAATGTACTTTACTAACTTGATCAAAATAAATAAAGACTTTTGACTGAGATAACATCAAAATCCTTCACTAACAAATTCTTTTTAAAATAGAAAGAATGAACGGAGAATTGTTTTTTAGAAAAGCTAACAAAATCGTGAATATTCGCCGTCTATGCCAGGCAAAACTTCAATACTTAAAAAACTAGAACTGACGAGAGTTTCGCGAATCAAAGTTATGTGTTTTCGTCTTATCATATTAAAATCTGTATCATGATATTATTACAAATGGATTTAAAACAAAAAAGATTTAAATTTAGAATGGAAGAAATATCTTCATTGTTATCCTTTTACCTTTCGTCGTAGACACGAAAAGGCTCTCCCGATGGTGCGGACTAATTCCGAATGCACCTCCAATCGTAAAAGAAGTCGTAAAGAAGCGAGTTACCCCTCGAACCGATGCACAAGAATCGGGGAAAAATAGTTGATTTCTTATTGGCTTCCACCCAGACTGAGATTGAAAATTCGCCATAAAGACATTGGGACACGCCTGGACGGATTAAAGGGGGAAACTAATAAAGAAAACTTTTGTGACACCGTATTTTTACCAAACCACCACCTACAACTTAGCCTTTATTAGGTTCGCGTTTGTAATTTTGAAAACGCTTTCTGGCCCTTATACTAAAATTGATATAAAACTCTCACAATTTTTCAGTTACAGCTTTGAGCTAATTTAACTATTATTCAAAACATGAAACAGCTTTTAAGAAAAGGTCTATTCATAAACATATTTGAAAGCTGTCCGCCTTTATGTATGCATACATGTATCAGATACCTTTTAGAGCGTGATAAAACTGAATTTACAGTCGAGAACTGCAAAAATTATGAATTACAGCGGCGCGACGACACATGGGATGAAAGTACAAAGACAAAACACGGCTATAAACATATACTGAAAATGTGTTAGCGTGTAGGTATACCACCGCGAATAGGAAACAGGGTAATGTGTATTACATTTACATAAATTATCACACAGTGAGACGGTATCTATCCGGGGTAAGCGACGCCGTAGCCACCTTCAAGCGACGGTTATTTACGCAACACGTCGTGATCGTCCGTCGGGATTGGTCGTATTTTACTTGAGGCTTTCACACATTTAACAGAAAGAGCGAATTTGTCTTGAGTTTAATTGAAATGCTAATAGAGTTTATCAAATAGTAAGTAAGGCTTGTCAAAAGTACGAGAAACATTTTGTTTATTATAAGATGAAATGCTTTTACCAGCGAAACATCTCCACCGCGCCGTAGGTATATAATTTCACACACGCCTCGTCTCATCGTTCGGCGAAATATTAAGGTGTATAAAATTTTATTACTTACATTACCCCCTTACCCTGTTCTCTCTATAAACATTTTGTGTGTCACGTCTCCCCTCGGTCGCGCGAGGCCCGTACGGCCCGACGTAACTTTCGTTTTGCCTTATTTCCTTCTAATGCTACATTTGTATCTTAATAACGAACAGTATTATGTTACGAACGTTCGCATTGTTTGATTTCCAATCTCTTGAGACTGCAGATTTATTTTGCTCCACTAATGGCTCGTGCCGAAGAAATTGAATGTTTGAAACACTACATCGGAAGCTTTTGTTTTATTGCGTATTATTCAAACTGCTTATTGATTCTTAGGTTTTTAAAAGGTCATTCTGGAATCATTATTTTTTAATATTGATACTTTATAAATAGAGCTGATAAAAATAATTGCATCATGAAGTACAATAAGATCTTTATTAATATTAGACTCGATAAAGCAGCAATGTAAATAGATTGACGTTAAGTGTTTGTTTTGCGAGAGATATTATATTATTTGCTGTTTGAGTACTGATAGCGTAGAAATGAATGGTTTAATTTCGGAAGATTAATGATGCTGCGAGTAAGTTCATAAGGTGGGTGCAGGGAGCGGGCTCAGTTGATAGGAATCACACGGTAATCGTTGGCAATCTCTGTGGAGCACGCGCTCCTCCCCTACTTTATCTCGGCAGTTCGTCGTGGTATCACGCCGCTTATTGATATCACCGGTGTACTCTATGGATGTCTCGATATTGCTACCTGTTTGTCTTGCATCCACTATATTGACAATCACCGCAGCTTTGTTTCTTATCTTTTTTCTTATTTCTCCTCCCATACGAATTCATTGGAACGGGACCCGCTCGAATACAACTATTGGTTTTATTGTCGTTTGAACGAATAGGGGTTTTTGTCCAATATGTCAGCTTGAATCGTTTTATTTTCATACGCTAGTGGTTTCTATCTCAGATACATACTTTTGTAGGACAAATTAGGCAAATACTTTAGAAAAATCGTAAAACGGTTTGGGAAGTCCTTTGCAACATTTTATTTATTTCTAAAGTTGTTTACTTGTAATTTGTTGGGTACTCGTTTTATATACAGAGAAAATGTTTTCTAAGAAATCGTCGCCGTGGAAAAATAATTTACATAAAATCTTAAGCAAACGCAGCGAATTGGGTAAACTTCAATCATAGGATCTCGTCGTCTTTATCGTCTACCATGCCTATTTGAGAGTAGCAAATTTCAAGAAAAACCTTAAATCACAAATATGGCTCCATATAATAATAATAATAATCTATTTCACACATCCCACACGGTCGTCTGATCCCAAACTAGTCAGAGCCTGTGCTATGGTAACCAGACTGCTGATATACATACTTATATATTTTTTACATATTTTAGAAAAATTAGACAGAACAAATGACTGTGCTCATTACACAGTATTTGTCCTGGGAGAAATCGAACACACCCAATCACACAATCGAGCCCTGTGACTTAGCAGTGAGGGTCACTAACCACTAGACCAAAATAAGGTAATAAGATTATGATGTACATAATATTAGTATTGTATGTGAGTAACATTCAACCGAAACGTCAACCGTTGAGGCCTTTCCGTGGGCCTATTGTAATTTGTTTATTCGAGTGTGCGAACAATTCTGTACCCGAACCACAGTTACTACTTTGCCCTCACACTACCGATTTACAGAAATATAAATATTTTAATGTTAGTCGATCGCTCCTATAAAGGTTTCAGGTAAAGCTTTGCACCTTTTTCTACGCGGGAGATGGCGGTTCACAAGAAATATTCGGGACCATCCACCGCGTGGAATCCTATTGCAATTTATGCTCATTGAACTGGAAAAAGTATATGGGGAGGCTAAGGTCGGCGTCGATTCTTTTATTGCCACATGAAATCAATAGAAAGCGTGACGAGGCAACTGTTTGGGATAGCTTTTTCATGTAATAAGACCTATAAAATCATGTTTCGATTTCTATGAGGAGTTCGACATAAATCGCTATCACCTGCGGAGGATGTGAATAATACCGATTCGGTGTTATTAGGAATAATTGTTTAAAAAATACAGAATACATTCACCAATCGGATGTGCTACAATAAGTCACAAGGTCCTCTAGGGATTCAGAACTGTCACTGGTATATTGGTGTAATTGAAAATTGAAATTTGTTTAGGACCGCGCTGGACTTCTAATTTGATTTAGGCGACGCACGACGGCTCGCGCGGAATCGGAAACCAATAACAATAAATATAATGGCTAGAGGTGAATCTGTAAGCTTAATCCCGTGTTCATTGTAATAAGGGCAATTTTTGTTTCTACATTCAATTGGAAGCGGGCGACACGTAGGGGAATTAATTTGCTAAAGAGCACTGCTCGAGTGTAAAGAAATAGCGCATGCATTATTTCTGACTCACTTGTTTCTCGTACACACCTGACGAATTTCTCAAATATGTATACGTGTACGCTATAGTACACGTTATTCATTACGCTTAATTTGCTAACTAAACCTTCATAAATAAGTAATGATAAAACAATAAATAAGACTTCGAATCTTATATGTATTAGTGCTAATTTTTTTGGGATAGAATAAATTTATTTCTGTTAATATTTAACTATCAGCCGTTAATTACACTTTCATCCACGTTTAGTATCACTGCTTTTATATATGTCGTATTCAATTGTTACATTTAATATAGAATATTTAATATAGTTCATATAATATAGAATAAAACCAAACAAACAAACACACAAACCCTATACCAACCCGTCTGGCCAGCGTGGTATAGTAGGCCAAAACCTCCTTTCTAAGGAGAGGCTTATGTCCAGCAGTGGACTATTAAAAGCTGTTGATGAATATAGAATAATGTAGTATATTTAATTTAGAAGTTTTCTAAGTTTTAGAATTATATGGAGACAACACGCCCCTTAATGCCACGATATATCTATCTAACGTATATTGACTAATACTGTATACTTAAAGACGTTATCTATCGACCTCAAAAGTTGCAGTCACAGTTGAACCTGTTATTGGCTAGGCACGCAACGTCCGCAAGATTCCAAAACGTTCTTTGGGCTTTGGTAGAAATTCACAAAATCCTAACAAGGTATAAATCGAAACCCTCGTAACATATCTCCGTTACCTAGCGAGCCATTCCTCTCCGAATACATCTCAAAGAAGGTATAAGTTGCACATGCAGTACATGCCTAAATGAGAAAAGTAATAAAATCACTACTAATATAATACACTTTAGGTGCAAAACGACTACCAGTAAGGTATTTTATCCTGTGAAAATTAATGTAGGTTAGTTGAAAGTTTGAATTGCCTTCAGTATATTAGTTCGATGTTTCTAGCAGTATTGTGACCTAAGAAAGGCACTTTAGGTCATAGGGGGGTGTCTGCCTATGAAGAGTGAGTATTTAAACTATACTATTCGCTAAATTTCAGCTGATAGCTAAAAATTTAAATTTAAACTTTATTTTAAACTAAAATGAAACCAAAAACAAACCAACTGAAATAAATGTAACATATATATTTTTTTAAAAGAAAATTATTTTTCTTGCTTAAAAAAACTTAAAAACATAACTATTGACTTTATTGTTTGATTAGGGTACAAGTTAGATAACTCTTTTAGGTCTTGTATCTATAAATATAACCTAATACAGAGTAGCGAATATGCATTCATGCTGAGTACAAAAATGAGAGAGCTTGTAATGTCGATTAGGAGAACCTATCACATCGTAAATCGTACTAGTATCGATTATATAAGATATTATATTTTTATGTCCCCGTTTACCCTTTGAAAAGAATCCCCCGTCGAATGTAATCGAGCCGTGAGACGCTTTGACAGAAACAAAAGCGCGCGCACGTGAACACCCCATATTGCCAATATCCAAGAAATTTCGCCAATACTACAGAGAAATACTAGCATTATTAGCTAGGGGTTCCTTAGTTCCATGGCTCCCTCGCTATCACTCACCTATCAGTGGCTGCAGGGAGTACCTCCACACTACTAATCACAGAGGATGTGGCAAAGACGCGCTATGCATATTTATTGCTACGAATACCTCCGACGAATTCTCAACGTTTTCGTTCAACACAAGCTCCACGTAGGATGTTTTTCATTTGCCTGAGTTATTTATTTAGCGAGGGCACCAGGTACATGTAAGGGCTTAATGTTTGATGAGCTCAGAATCGGCCTCCTCAATTTCTGTACCTACGCCTCTCGCTCACCCTGATCGGAATGCGATCACGTCCTGCGGTTGTTTGTTTTCCATCCGAGATAAGCGAATGGAATTAAATTCAACTAATCAATATAATGAATCCGTTATATCTAACCGTAGAAGCCTGATACAATGTTTGTAAAATAATCGTTACATTATTAGAACGTGTTTGCTATAACAATGTTTGTTAATAAATTATGTAGTTGAAATCAGCAAATTTAGAAGGTTGGTAGGGAATATGAGGGATATTACGACCGCAACAAACAATTAGCGTCCAAGCAAGGCGAGCGCACACAGGCTTATAAAACATGGTTACACGCACCGCCACTTGCACCAGTAATTAAAACTTTTCTACAAAAAGTAAATCAAATTATTTTGAATATAATTTGTTTTCGTCTTGCTTTCTTAGATCAAATAAATACAGGAAAAAAAGGTATGCATTATAAGAGAGATACCCTCGAATTAAATTCTTGACGAATGTTAATGTTTAACCAGGGAATTCTTGTACAGTTTAATAGGGGGAGCTCGGGTTAATTAAATAGGCCCGGGTTCATTTTCATAAAATTATTTGATCTTGGCCCAACACGAGGCCAATTGGATGCGATTCATTTACTGGGATCGCAGACTTTAATTTCATTTTTGCGTTGTGAAGATTTTACTTCCGCCGAGGTCTGGGCATAGCACGGGTTTATTCGTTGGCAAACTACATAAACACAAGTTTATTACTGGCTGTCTGCCTTCACTTTTGACTGAGGGGGAGATTCAGCAAATTGACTAAAGTGCGGTCTCGTGTTGAAGTAATAAACGTATTTTATTATGCAGTGCTTACATCACAAAAGCGACACATTATAATTGAATAAGAATGTTTTGCATAGTTTATCACAGTTTTAGTACAACGCGGCGAGTTTTAGCTGAAATATACTGAGCATTAAGGTAACTACTTTGTAACAACTGTTGTACTTTCTATTGTCCCTTGCTATTATACTTTATCACAGATAGCACGATAGTGAAGGTCATTGTTCTTGTAATATATAATCGTTGTATGCGTGTTGGAATAACACAAACACATAATACGCGATTTTCATAGTGTGCCCCATTGTCAGTGTTTTACAGATGTAACAAAAGAAACTATTATCTCATAATAATTTATTATTCGAGTCATGTCATATAACTGCAATTTAGTCTGAGTATACTTCAATAAGAATTCACTGGCTATCCTCTACCTATAGTTTACTATAATCGAAAATCATTAAATATTATGTTAATTATTTACTAGTATAGGATTTCTGATACTATTAATTTCCCTTTCTGAGTTTTTTACTTACCTATTTAACCTACCTATACATGAATACACACTAAGTGTCAAGTAATTTATTATCGATTAACGGAATAACCAAGAGGATTTTTTCATACATAGAATAATATATATGTAGGTACACAATAAAAATAAAAACCTAATGATTGACCGTTGACCATTAACAACCAAATACTAATAAAGAACAAAGGAAACCTTAGCTTAGTCTAATTTAGGATGATAAACACATGTTGTCCACCTTATTTTTTATTTATTTTTTTCCTTTGCGGAAATCCCCTCGGATA